CTTAAGCTAAGCATTTATTAAATCTATAATCAGCGTACCTGCAAGTAGGAAAATGATTGCCAACCTAGAGCCAATGAAACGACCCAAATGAGAACGGTTCGAGCAGAATCCGAAACCTTCCTGGTAGTTGCACTCAGATTCTTTGTTACAGTCATGCCACACACGTTGTAGAATGCAATACTTATGATAAGTCCTGAAAAGATTATAATTAGTCCATGAAATCATCAAAATTTAGTAAATTATGTGTATGTGATAACCTTTTGTATTGAGTGACATATCTTCTTTGTCTTTCGGTGAAAATACGCTTTACGTATTATTGTTTGTAACATTTCAAATAATTAAGATCTTTAGGGTAAGCTCATTGTACAGTTCTTTGTATGTTTTTCAAATGATGGGCAAACTAATAGTTTTAAATAATATGCCATATATGAAAACTAATAATATGCTATATAGAAATGCCCAACAGAATTTCTGCCAAGGCCAGATTTATGAATGACTTCTTGGTTGCATCCACGTTTGTTTCGGTGCAACCATGCGGGAAACGGGTGGCAAGTAGTTGACTTGTGAACAGCTTGGAGAGTGTGATGTTTTGGTGCGGTTGTGTCATAGTGGAAGAGAAGTGGAGTCATGCTGTCTGAAACGCGCTCCTCGTAGAGTTGCAATTCTCACCTCCAAACTTGCACGCTGACCATTCAATATAATTAGGTAAAAATGTTTCTGTTGTTAATTTATACGAAAGAAAAAAGCGCAACTGAAACAGCTGAAAAGTTATGCGAATTATATTAATCAACAAAACACGGTTTAAAATTGAAGCCGAATTGAATAAAAATATATAGTTCCTTGATGCACTGGCGAGGAGAATTCCATTGTTTGAATTTGACGGTTCTGGTTATCGATCAGCGATTCTTTCGAACAGATATTTATGTCTGAGGTTCGGTGCAGCACTTATTTTTTCCAGAAACTTCGTGAGGATCAAATGTTTACGAGTGTAGGAGAAATGCAGCACCGCTTCCGCTGCAGATGCTGATATTCGACATTGTTGTACCGTTTTCCTGAAGAATGAGCAGCTTAGGAGGACGCTTGACACCTGGCAGTACACTTCTACATCCTGATTGCAAATTGATGAAGCCCTGTAAGAACATACATTTGGCAAAATTGCCAATAATACACCAGGAATCTGTGTCTAATGGGGAAACATCACAACAACGTGGGTTCATGATTTACCACAAAATTGCGATGAGTCTGGAAATGATATAATTTAAAAGATATGCTTCTAGACACTTAGAAAAGGCTTCAATCTTATTTACCTCATCGAGTGCGAAGACTGCAGCAGGTGGCATGTTGGCCAGACCTGCAGGAGATTCAGTATCTCGGGTAAGGAATAATCATGTACAGTCCGTATCAGACAAGCTGACATTTGGCATTGCTTAGCACGCTATTTCTTGAGGACACCCTTTCAGTCAGACCACTGTGCCTGCTCTCGACAGTGATCAGTCAATATTAGGTGTTTTTGTAATGGAGTCCAC